TTTTGCGACAAAACTGAAATCTACCACAAAGGCAACTTCTGAGAAATCACAAGCCTATCTCTTTGTGTCCATAAACAGCGTCTAATACTCTGTACCCTTTCGATGACGGTGGATCGTCTAGAACCGGCGTCAGTACCTACAGCAAGCAGGCTAGTTCTATGGCTGATTTTGCTTATGTAGTCAAAACTGGTTCACTTGAGACTCAGAGGTCGCTGTCGTATTTTTTTGTCCATCTTAAAAGTGGTTACGTTTCAGTCAAAGATGAGTGATTCTGTTCAATGACCTGTGAGCATAGTTAGTTTGGCTAATCAATTTTTTTTGCTGGAAGCAAAACCCGTTCATCTGAGGCATTTAGGTCGATGAGAAAATTTCAAGTAGAATGACGATGATTGACAGATTTTCACAATTCACGTTTGAGAACCAGGATTCAGTGATCCCTCTGGACAACCAGTGGCAGAATGAACATCATCGGGTTCTGTATTCCGCATTTTCGTCGCATTTCTATTCACATCTTGTTTATTGCTTAATGCAACACTTTTTCAAGTCTTTCTCTTCCTTTGCTTCCTTTTGTGCGCTTAATCGACAGATGCTCTCTGTTGAAAAATTTAAATTTGTTGCCAAAAAGTCAGCTTCCTCGGAATCATTTTGTTACCACAGTTTTGTCCTTTCTTTATAAACCTCTGTTTCCAGTTATCGATGTCTTAACCCGTCCCGATAAGTGCTTCCAAAAAGCACTCAAAACCATTGAGTTTCTGGCTTGAAACAACAGACCCTAGGGTAGACCTCTGCTTTTCCTTTTTGGTTCATCCTTTGCCACCACAATACGTTCTTCTCTTTACCTATGTGTTACATGATATAGAATATTATTATTTTTCAACTCAGGAAAGGTGAAGCTGAAGCCCTCCAGAGCAATCGGTCTGTTACTCTCCTGTCACACCTCTACAAGATTTTTATCCGGGTCGTCTTCAGCCATATTTAGAAAAAATTGCAATTACTCGCTGCTAAAGAAC